TTTTTGACTTGAATACGTGTAATTTAAATTACCTGAAGAATGATTTTCCAAACTATTGCAGGTTCAGCCCTACCTGTAGGTGAGAAATGACCCTTCTTTCAGTAATAGAAACAAACAACAAAGAGAAGAACAAGCCAAAGAAGTCATAAGATTATACCTAGGAGGAATCTTGGAGATGGTGCCTCATTCCATCTCCAAAATCGAATATAAATAGCCCAACGTGCATACTGAAATAATTGGCCGGGGTATATTAAGGGAAGGATCCATAAATACAAGATGAGGAATCAGAAAAAACGTATCAATCATACCGGGAAATCTGCACATTTGATACGCACCGCCAAGAATCTGGAAATCGGGGGTTGATTATGCTAACAATTCGAATCGCCCAAGGATTGTAATCCATTGCTAGGGGACACGCGAAAATTATGCCTATTTCACCGGGAAGGTATGAATGCTGGACAAGAGGAAATCACCGTACAGCTTAAGGTGAACTGGCCATTGTGATATGCAGGAGAATTGGCTTTTGTGATATTCATCGTAATAGAGGAGCAAGAAGAATGTCATTCTCTCATTCACATCCAAAAGGCGTCTGTATAGGACAAAATGGGAAGACATGAGCCTCACAAAATACACAATTAACTAACATAAGAATATCACTTTGTAGTTAAACTGGAAGCTGAAGAAAAGCGATCGAGATATAAGATTTACAAAAAGAAAACAATGATCAGGTTCAAGCAAAGAGAAACTAAAAGAAGCATGAACAGCTGCACAGAATGAATTATTATTGCTCACGAATTGCCAGCAGGAAAAAACAGAGGAAAGAGAACATACTTTTTGATCTCTAGACACTGTTTTGCGGCTGTAACAATATCAGCAGTGCTAATAAAAGCCATCTTTGTCTTAGTTTTATTGAAAAAAACTTCTACCATGCTATTTAAGAAGCTGAGCACAAGAGGCCATGAACTATAATTTATTTTGATAGGAATGAAGTTGCTGACAGAATAAACCTGCAGCATAGAAAAACTAGCATTACTAACATTCCCCAGTAAAATAAATGTAAAAATCGGTAGAGAATGTTTAAAGAAAATATAATTGAAATGGGCACATAGAATCTTGTACCACACACATGAAAAATTGTGAAACATTTCCTTCAAAAAAAAAATTGTGATACATTAATTACAAGCAGAAAGGATACAGCAAAAAAGGAAACTGCCTTGAGAAACTAATTTGCAAGAAAGTATGTGTACATTTGTAATACACTAAGAATATGGCAGTGTTTCCACTGTGATGGAAAACATCAGATTTTAAAAGGGGCATCTTGTAGAAAATGTTGCTAACCAAATGGGACAACTGCGTACAGGTTTCTACAACATTAAATGCATCACAACCGGTGATTCCTTGAGCCAATTCCATCAAGAACAGCAAGTCCGACTTAACCTTAAAAACCAGATACAGAAGACACTTAGTTCCAAAAGACTCACTGTCCGAGCAACCATATAAACAGGTGCGAAGCATAAGTGCCCGCAAAAGGAATAGAAATGAACACCTCGTGAGGGGCCAAGTCGGTGGACACATCGATCAGGGCATT